GTTTAAAGAGAGTCCGTGACAGGAATCATGGCGAAGGGTCTGGCGGAGTAGCTGGGGTGGGGGTGGGGGGATGAGGGGCCGGAAGGCCGGGGGCGGCTATCCCCGACGCCGTCTGCTCGGAGGATACGGGAGCCCAGCATTTAGCCTAGGGAGGATATGGACCAGCGAGTGGCCGGGAGGTGTTCTGTCTCCACCGGCTCTGACTGGGCCAGGACCAGTTCAGTTCCCTGGCAGGGAAGGGGTCGTGGGGCGGGCCGGCCCCTCCTCTCGTTCCCTCCCGGGGATGTTATGTAAGGGGGGAGGGGAAAGGAGTAGGGGGCGGCGGTGCGGAGGCCTTATGCAACCCAAAGGTTAGGATTTCACCGCGATTGGGCGGAGGTTGGGGGGGCGGACAGGAGGAGGGCCTGGAAATTCTACCCCCCCAAGCCCAACTGGCCGCCTTGGACCGAGAGAAGGTCACCTTTGCACCTCCCCCCAGTGTGTCCGGTGGTGAGGCCCCTAGCCCCGGCTTGGCCCTGACCGCCTGGGAAGCCGGCTGCTGGGTGGGGCTCCTGGGTTAGTCATCGCTGGGCTCCCTCTCTCCCCACCTCCCAGCCAACACTTGGCCCCTCCCCATGGCCTCCGGCTAGACTATCGTCCCCACCTCCCTCTGGCCCCAGTTCCAGCCTCCAACTCATTTGGCCTGTCATCCTGGCTGTCAGACTAGGCTAGAAGCTGTCATGGTGCCAGAGGGTTGATGGAGCAGCTGGTCAGAGGGTCAGTGCCCTGGGCCCACCCCACCCTGCAGCCAAGGGCACCTGCTTGGCACAAACTCTCAGCAGCATGTGAGCCCTTTGGGCTGAACAGAGCTATCTCAGGCAGAGGAGAGTTGGACAGAGTTGAACTGGTCACCTAGGAGAAGGAAGATACCACAAAGTTTATGTATCCCAAGAGGCTTGGAATTTGAAAATCCCCACCCCACCCTAATCTTTCCATTCTCTGAATATAGAAATCCCAAGGCGATTTTTGCCCCTCAATCTGGCATGAGCCATGCCCTTGGACTGTGTGCAGAACCACCCTCCCCAGCTCTCAGCCCTCAAGCCTGCCACACCCCCAGCCCCCTCCCTGGGCCATGCTGCTGGGCCCAGCTTTTCCTGCTGATTCATGCGTTGGAACTGTGGGGGCGGGGCTTGGAACTTGGAACAAAGTTCAGACATGGAGGGGCCGGCAGACAGCCTGGAATTCATACCAGATGTACCCGGAATGTGCAAACGGAATGCCAGGCATCTCAGAGTCCTGAGGAAGCTGCCCAGCCACCCTGCCCATACCTCCCTCCCCTCCTGCCTTGGGTCAGCTGTTCCCTTCCTCATAGTCCCTAGAGCCACTGCTGACCTTCTAAACTCTAGACCTTTTCCCTTCCACACTCCTCCCCAGTTTTAAGCCCCCACAAACCCTCCTTCCAGTTGAAGTCCCTAGAAACAAGTAAGTTGAGCTGATCATTGAGCTCACATTCCTGCACCTGATGTAGTGTTTCTCACCTAGGACCTGGGTTCTAGACCCTGTTCTTTGAATGGTGAAGATGCTGGAGTCACTAGTGAGTTGCTAAGGGTTTCTAGTGCCACCTGTAAAAAGGGGCAAGAAGAGTACATTTATTTAGAGTTCCCTCTTGTTTCTTATTGAAGTTAAGAACTCCTCCCAGATCAGAGTCAAGAACCTCTCAATTAGGTGTTGAAAGTCTGTAGGGCTAGGCTTCATGGCCAGTGAGGCAGTGTTTCTGTGACCCAGCCCTACTCAGATCTTTTCTATTTTTCTTCCCCTTCCCTTTAGGAACCTGTGCCTCCCACACCCTCACCTGGCTGAGCCGCAGTAGTTCTTCAGTGGCAAGCTTTATGTCCTGACCCAGCTAAAGCTGCCAGTTGAAGAACTGTTGCCCTCTGCCCCTGGCTTCGAGGAGGAAGAGGAGGAGCAGAGTCTTTGCCTATCATCTGGAAGGTGACAGAACTGGGTTTGGGAAGTCCTGCTCAGCTGGGGAACCCTCACCCACACAGGCCCTGCAAGAGAAGATTTAGGTTAAAAGTGCTGGCTGAATTGGGGAATAGGTGACTCCATCTCCCCAAGGTTAGTTGGTCTTTGTGTGGCAATGGGAAGAAGCAGAAAGAAGGAAAGTCTGTCTACCCTTTTACCCACATTTCATCCTAGGCCTTCCTTATCTCCCATCCTCCCCTCCTCTTTCCAAGTAAGGTCCAAAAGTAAGCGTACTCAGGTGACTGAATTGCAGATCTAGGTTGTCCTCCCTGTGCTTTTACCTCTCTCTGTATTTTATATACTGGTTTAGATTTTAGATTTAGGGCTGCTTACCTCCATGAAGTGTTTATACCCATCAGAGCCTGGGTTCTCTTGTGAGTAGGAACAAAACAGCTCATCACATAAATTGTTGTCCCTTACCCATCTCTGATTACACAAGCCCAGTGCTGGAGTACTAGGATAGAGGGAAAGGTGAAGGCTAGATCAATGCAAGAAGCTAATAGGAAGCCATGCAAGGGTGGCCTTGGGTCACCTCTACCCACAGTAGGACTACAGCTCTTGGTTGGGTCTTAGCAACTACTGCTATTCTTTCTGCCTTTGCTTTCCAAGATTAGTAAGTGAGATTCAGTTCAGGACTGTGCAGGCAAGAAATTGTCTCCTCTAGCAACCAGGAGGGATGGGTTGTGGGATCTGAGCCTCTTGTGAACATCAGGCATCATAAACCTGCACCTCCAGCTCCTGATCTCACTCTTAGGCTTGGACTCTGGGATTCAACCTTGGCCCTGTCTCCCTAATAAAAGATGGCCAAGTTTGGGGGCTACAGGAAGCTATTTGTTCTGTTTGGTGGGAGGAGATATGACGGGCACTCTATCCTATTCTCCATTTATGAGAAACTGAAAGCCATAGGGGAGAGTAGATCATTGAATCCAGCCCTGCTGCAGCCTAAGCTGAAGGGTAGGATGTGTGAGGGACTGAGTAGAGTGGGGTTGGTTAGCTGAGTCTGTTCATACATTCCAACAAAGATCACTCTGTCCCTGGACATTACTTTCTTCCCCTCCTCACTTCACTGGCCACAGTGTGTCCCCTTCCAGCCCTGGGTACATGGCTTTGCATCTTCACCCAACATGGAACAGAAGTGAGGAAGGGCAGCCTGGCAACACAGAGGCAGGCAGAAGACCAGTGAAGGATCTGGCCTGGAGCCACAGGGCCCTCCCTATCTGGGTATTTGTCAGAGAGACCCATAAAACTCTGGAGTACACCAGGAAGGAGAACAGCCAGCCTCCGTCAAAGACAAGTTCCAGCCATTTCCTCTGCAGATCTACCTCTCTTGGAGATAAGGACCCTTAATGAAGTGTGGTCCCATTTTTCTCTACCATGCAGTTTCTATATAAGCAGCCTCAAGGAGCATGAGCCAGCTGTGCAAGGACATACACAGGAAATTAAAATGTGTAACACTATGGAAAATGTATTCTTGACTGGGGCTGTAGCTCAGTTGGTAGAATGCTTGCCTAGCATGCACAAAACCCTGGGTTCTGTCTCCAGCTCTGCATAAAACTGGATGTGGTGGCACAGGCCTGTAATCTCAGCACTCTGGAGGTGGTGGCAAGAGGATCCAACATTCAAGGACATCCTTTGCTACACATTGAGTTCTAAGCCAGCCTGGACTACATGAGACCCTGTCTCCAAGAAATATATATTCATTAATAATCTAAAGGCAGACATTGCTCAAAGTATTTTTTTCCTTATCACAGTATGACAAATAAGACCCCCAAAAATGTTCCCATATGTTGCATGTGGCCATATCAAACACCAGAAGAAATTCCCTGTCTTTTTAACCCAGTAATTATGTGTTGGGAAATTTATCTTAAAATAAGAATTTGATTATAAAATGTTTGTTTCAGAGTTGCATATAGAAAAATGGAAACAACTGTTTGGTTGGAAATTCATTCCTTTTTTTCCTGTAATGAAAATTTGCAACAGGGGATTGCTTGAGAAAATTATATCCCTCCAGATGGTGGAGTACTGCACAGCCATTAAAAGTCATGTAGAAGAAAGTTTAACTGGAAAGAAAAATGCTCTTTGATTATTAAAAAGGTCATAAAAAGTGTGAGTTTCATAATCCTAATTTTGTTTTTAAAATATGAATGTTTACTTGTGATACATAGTTTTTTTTTAAGACTGAAGATGTATTAAAATATTAATAGTGGTTATCTTTGGATGGTTGAATAAAGCAATTGTGAATTTCCTCTTTGGTTTTTCTGTAGTTTCCAAGTTTTGTAATTGTATATTGCTTTCATATACTAAATAAAATTTTAAAATCAATGGAATTCTTTAAACTTTGGAGGCCTAGGTATAGAAGGATGGGATGCACCTAGCCTTTGGTGGGAGTGTTTGCCTGGGGCACCTACTTCATGAATTCTGTGTGTGTGTGTGTGTGTGTGTGTGTGTGTGTGTGTGTTCCTGGGAATCAAATCCAGGGCTTTGTGCAAGCCTGGCCTGTGCTCTACTATAGCCACTCTGGAGTCTGAGCCCTATAAACTCCATTCTTTAGGAGTAAATTGAATCCACACACACACACACCCCTTGTATACAGGAAGCATTGCTCTTGACTTGCTGGCTGTCAGCCAGTGAAGGAGGTGTGGAGTGGAGTAAGGAAGGAAAATGGTAAAAACCTGTGACTGCAGGGAATGGAATGGAGAGGCTGTTCCTCTTCAAGTCAAAGGGGTCTAGAATCTGAACAGACCTACTGCTGAAAACACCATGGTTTTCGTTTTTCTCTTCTGAGTCCATCTTTCCCTTGAGGTGACATGGTCTGAAGATACTCAATAGATTCCAAGCCCTGGGAAGAGAAATAGGGTTCAAGAATGTGGCAGAGTTCCTTTTTGCCTCTTCTACCCAGAATCTGTAGGGCAGACCCAAAAATTCTGGGGCGGAAGAGGAAGGAATCCCCCAAGGGACTGCTCCAAAATGGAGGCTGCTGTTCCGTTTGGGGGCGTACTATGTAAGGGGCAGAACTCCTGGAATCACATGTTTGTGGGAAAGTGCCAACGGCCTAGGAAGGTTTGTAGGCAGAAGGGCTGCTCCACCATAACTGGCACTGCTACTGCCATCAGGTAAAGGGGGGCGGTCGGTGGCAAGGTTTAGGCCTGCAGGGATTGGCTGCGCTGGCCGCCTACCTTCAAAGCTGTGGGTAAAGATGGACAGTAGGTGAGAGATGAAGGAACCAGGAACAGAAGGTGAAAGTTAGTGGGGCGGAGCCAAGAGTGGCAGGTAAGATTAGCCTAGCGATCCATTTCTGGAAGTCTCAGGGGTTTAGGACACGTGGAGTTGGAGAAGACCTCTACTGGTGTGTTCGAAGACCTCTACTGGCACGCTGGAAACCCTTTCGAGCTCGGTTGCCCGACTTGGTGCCCAGGAGCCCCCAAACCGCTATCCCTGGGTAGGGGCGGGACGCCATCAGTTGCCGTGGCTCCATGGCCTGTGGCCCCACGGCTGCGCCAAAATAGGGCCGTGGACAAGCCGGGAAAGTTTCAACAGACTGGAAAGGCAAAGCGGGCGGGTGAGGAAGTCCCTGGACCCAACCCTGCTGAAAGATCGCTGACCCCCGGGGTGCGGACTTAGAGGACCCTGCCCAGGGCAAAGGGGCCAAAGACACCGACTGGAACGTAGCTGGCCCACCAGGCCATGGCACCCTGGGGGCTCCTCGTGACTGGCGCTTCCTTTGCGGCGTTTCGGGGACCGCACTGGGGGCTGCAGCTACTGCCCACACCGGAATCTGCTGCTCGGGATGGCTGGAAGTGGAGAAACATCTGTGTCTCCCTGATGCATAGCCTGCTTTCGGGAGCAGGGGCACTGCTTGGCTATGGGGCTAGGGGGCTGGTGAGACCTGGGGGTTGTGGATGATGGCACAAAGGCTGAGGCTGGAAAACCGGGTGGGTATCTTCAGAGTGGATACTAGATATTCAAAGCCTGAGTCTAGGGCGGGTTGATGGGTGGGACTGCTACCCAGGGAATGGGTCTTGGGGAAATTGACCTTAGCTCCCTCATCTCCCCCAGGCTGTCGCTGTATCCTCAGATGGCCTCCGACCCGATTCATGGCCACCCACCTTGGGCACTGATCCTAGCAGAGATGTCAGTGGGTGAGTCTATAGAAAAGACTTGGACCAGGGAGGGCAACCTTGGAGCAGAAATTCCAGGTCTCCTTCCCCAGTTTGGGTACTGAGCACATGTTGCTGGAGGTTTGCTGTGAGGAATTAAGGACCTAGGAAACGTGGGCTTGAGACACCTGTCAAGACTCTGCACCAGCTCTAGCTCTGAGAGAGTCTGACATTCCTCCCCAATGCCCACAGGCTATTTCCTGGCAGATGGAGTCCACATGCTATGGAATCAGACCTTGGCCCAGGCCTGGGATCTTTTCTGTCACCATTTGGTGGTGAGACTCTGAAGGGAGAAGCCATATAGAAAGATAGGAATGCCCAACTTGGGGGCCCAACTCTCCAGCCTTCTGTCCTCTGTCTTCCCACAAAGCCCAACTGGAACCTTGCTTTCCCAGACTTGGGCTGAATTGGAGGGTGGTTTTAACTGCTAGACACAACTAGGAGTCTGGGCACTGCCCAAGGAGTTGGATCCCCCACAAATGTCCAACTGATCCCAAAAACATTAAATATGGAGTCTTGCTGAGCAGAAAGAGCCCTGATATGGGATTTGGGAATGAGGCACAAAATCCCAGAAATGGAAGTTGGGGCATGCTATCCAAATATTACAGCCTCGGGGTGAGACAGCCTCTGGGTCAAGGCTGCTCAGGCCCCCAAAGATAAGGGTAAGTAGAAAGGTCAGGATCTGGGGGAGTTCTACAAAATGCTAAGAGCCCCTTGAATAAGGACTAGGATGCTGGGACATGATGGATACAGTCATACAAGGCTCTCTGACCTTGAACCCTGCTCCCAGGTAGTGAGCTGCCTCAGCATTGCTGTTTGGTCTGGCCGCTACGTGGGCTTCTCCATGGTGTCTCTGCTCCTGGAGCTGAACTCTATCTGCTTGCACCTGCGGAAGCTGCTGCTGCTTTCACAACAGACCTCATCCTTGACTTTCACAGTGACCAGTTGGGCCACCCTGACCACCCTGGCCTTCTTCCGACTGTTACCCTTGGGACGGATGAGTCTGTGATTGTTCTCACAGCACTACCAGATGCCTCTTGCTCTGGTCATCCTTGGTGGAACTGGACTGGTCACTGTGGGTACCATGAGCATCAGACAGGGTGTCCGAATTCTGGTCAGTGATATCCTCCGGTCTCGACCCTACCAGTCCATTCTTGTGCAGAAGGAGACTCAGGGGATCAGGATATGTGATGGTGAGCCTGTCACCAGCAATTCCACTCTCAGTCTGAAAGACTAGAGAAGTGGTAGTTTCCTCTCTGTCAGCCCTGGTGGGCAGGTGTGGGGGGACTGGGAAAAAGAGATGGTGGCCTTCACTGCATAATTTACAATGTAGTAAGGGCTGAACTGGATTATCAGCATCTCAGGTTCTTTTCCAGATAACTCACCTCTCTTCCCCTTTCCAAAATCCAAGAGGAAATGTTGATGTTAGTGACTGTGGGAAACTGGGTTACTGTTCACTGAATTCCTCTGCTTCAGCACAGGGACAAACAAAGGGAGGGGAAGTCCTACTAGAATCAGAGAGACTGGGCATAGATGGGGCAGGGCCAGAGGAAGAGGGACCTCACTTATGATCAAATTTGTGCAGTGGGACAATGGCACAAGAAACATCTGTTGCCAGGAAGGATGGGCATAACATTTGCCACTGGGTACAGCTTTTTAAATTTTTGTGTATTTTCTGATCTTTTCAAAGAAAATGTAGATTCTTAGATATATGAACATGGGACTAGGACTGTCTTGTAAGATAAGGGAGAAGCCCAGAGCTATAGAAGATTCAGGTACTCATTGTGGGTACCCCATGTAAAACTTTCCCAGGCTTGGGGTTTCATTGAGGAACAAGGCAGAGGCAAGCAGGGGAGGGAGCCTCCCACTTGGCTACAGAGTGGTTAGGGATAGCTGGCTGACCTTCTTCTGGGGCTCTTTTGAAAGCTCTTCTTCCTCCCTGTTTCTATTACATGTCCCCTATTGCACAAGTCTCCTCCCTTCCCTGTCAGAACATCCAGGTTACAGGAAGTGTAGAGCAGGTTAAGATTACTGGTATACTGAACAGTGGGCAAAAATAGATAACCCTTCATCATCCACAGAAAAGATACAGGAGCAAAAACAAGAGGCAGGAAGTTCTTTTTAAAATACTGCCAAGAGGAGCTGGAGAGACAGCTCAGTGGTTAAGAACACTGACTGTTCTTGCAGAAGACCCAGGTTCGAATCCCAGCACCCACATGGCAGCTAACAACTGTCCGAAACTCCAGTCCCAGGGGATCCAACAGCCCTTCTGTCCTCCGTAGACACTGCACAACAAGGGTGCACTTACATACTACACACAGGCAATATAAGCATACACATAAAATTAAAATAATAAATAAAATATTTAAAATACTGCCAAGAAACTAAGGGAGAGAAAGACAAAGAGGCTGAGGGAGACATAAATGCATAGCTAGAGGAATGGGTAGAAGGAGAGAGGAAGGATTAACTGTGTAGTGAAGACAGGCAAAGAGAGACTGAGGGCAAGGGAGAGAAAGCCTTGGCAAAAATACTGAGAAAGATTGCCACAGAACACAAATCATAGTATTGATAAAATGGTCACAAACCAAGAAAAATTGGAATAAAGAGACCCCAAGAGAGGAAGGCCCAGCTCATCTAGACAGTGAAATATTGAGAGCAGATGTGGGAGAGATGGAGAGATACAGGATGGAGAGATTAACAGAGTGAGGAGAGGTGGGAATGGAGAAAAGGGGAACTAGGGAGGGGATTGAGAAGCAGGGGCAGAGGTGGTCAATGGGGAGATTCAATGACAGAGAAGCAGGAAACACGTTGAGTTGGAGATGGACAGAAAGACAAAGCACAAACAGCTGCAGGACAAGACACAAAGACAGCTGACAGTAATAGAGAGGCAGAGTCTGGTGAGAAGAAGAGGTTAACTCAGAATCAAAGATGTACAGCTAGATAGAAGAAAAACCAGGGAAATGAGGAGAATCATGGTGTGTGTGTGTGTGTGTGTGTGTGTGTGTGTAGAGCAATTAGAAAACATCCAACAGAAGAATCGAAAGAAGGAACACAGAAATTGAGAGAGAGAGAGGAAAAGAAAGAAAAAAGAACAAGAAAAGAGCTATGAAAATGAGAGGAGAGAGAGAGAGAGAGAGAGAGAGAGAGAGAGAGAGAGAGAGAAAGAGAGAGATCGTACGCAATCTCCATCGCAGAGTCAGAAAAACAGAGGAGCAAAGGGGGAAAATAATTGAGCCTGGCAAGGTGCTCAATGCCAGCACTTAAGAAGTACAAGCAGGAAGACCAGAGTTCAGGGCCATTCTGGACTACATAAGACCCTACCTCAAACAAGCAAACAAATCAAAAAAGAAAACAGAAAAAACTGTGTGGTAACTGGAACATGTGCTTAGCATTCATGAGGTTCTGAGTTTGATGCTCTGTACCAACACTTATTTTTATTTTTGGTCTTTTTGAAGCAGGGTCTCCCTGTGGCCCCAGCTGTCCTGGAACTCACTATGTAGACCAGGCTGGCCTTGAACTCTCAGAGATCCGCCTTTTTTTTTTTTTAATGTAGGGTTTGGTAGATGCTTTGATAGGAGTCTGGGTCACCAGAGTGATACCTGTCAGATGTTACCATGGCTGGGAGAAGTGGTCCTCAAGACCAGCTCCATGCTTGCCAAGCAACTCACCAATACTTTGTCTTTCAGCAGAAGGGAGGCACTTCTGTGGGTAGAGAACACTGAGATTTTTAGGTCTCAGAATGCTATCCCCATTATAAATGAATAAATTGCTATGCAAATAACTTCATTAGTCTATTGTGCATATGATTGCTCTGAATAACTTTTCCTGGCTCCATTGGTATCCTGATTTGCTGTATGTTGTGGGGTTGTGGAGGCTTTACCTTGGGACGTTTTCTTCTTAGTACTTTCTCTTTCTCTCTCATTTTGTTTTGTATTTGTGTTTTTGTTTGTTTAGAATATTGGAGTTGGCTTGGCTGGAGTGGAGGCTGGCACTGAATTCTTTTTTTTTAAATATTTTATTTATTTTTTAATTTTTTTTTTTTTTGGTTTTTTTGAAACAGGGTCTCCCTGTAGCCCCAGCTGTCCTGGAACTCACTATGTAGACCAGGATGGCCTTGAACTCACAGAGATCCACTTGCCTCTGCCTCCCGAGGGCTGGGATTAAAGGTGTGCACCACCATGCCCAGCTTATTTTTTAATTAAAAAAAATTATTATTTTTATTTCGTGTGTGTGTGTGTGTGTGTGTGTGTGTGTGCGTGTAGGTAAGTGCACCATATTGTGCAATGCCTGCGGAGGACAAAAGAAGCTGTTGGATCCCCTGGAACTGGAATTATAGACAGTTGTTAGCTGCCATGTGGGTGTTGGGATTTGAGCCCAGGTCTTCTGCAAGAACAGCCAGTGTTCTTAACTGCTGAGCCATCTCTCCAGCCTTATTTATTATTATTATTATTATTTTTTCTCATTGCAGCTGGTTTGTTTGTTAGTTTGTTTGTTTGAAGCGGGGTCTCCCTGTAGCCCCAGCTGTCCTGGAACTCACTATGTAGACCAGGCTGGCCTTGAACTCACAGAGATCCGCCTGCCTCTGCCTCCCAAGTGCTGGGACTACAGGCATGCACCACCACGCCCGGCTATTATTTTTATTTTATGTGTATGAGTGTATTGCCTGTATGTTTGTGAGTGTGCACCAGTGTCGTGCAATGCCGCAGAGGTCAGAGGAGGGCATCGGATTCCCCTGAACTGGAGTTAAGGACGGTTCACAGCCACCGTGTGGGTTCTGGGAATTGACCCCAGGTCCTCTGCAAGAGCAGTCAGTGCTCTTAATCACTGAGCCATCTCTCCAGCCCTGGTACTGAATTCTTGATCATCCTGCCTCCGCCTTCTAAGCACTGTGACTTTGAATGATCTGTGATTATAGCTAGCATGCTGGGCTAAGCTGGCATATTCTTTTTTTGACCTACAAACCCCTAAAGTGTTATGAGATCCTCCATTGTCAAAAAACAAATCCAAGGCTGGGTGGTGGTACACGCCTTTAAATCCAGCACTCAGGAGGCAGAAGCAGGCAGATATTTGTGTGTTTGAACCTAGTCTGGTCAACTTAGTAAATTCTAGGCTAGTTGGGGCTTCTGTCTACTTCTGCCTCCTAGCTACTTCTACTATAGTGAGACCCTGTCTCAAAAAATAAACCACAAGTTCTAGAGAGATGGCTCAGCAGTTAAGAGCACTGATTACTCTTGTAGAGGACCTGGGTTTGATACCCAGCACCCACATGGCAGCTAACCACGGTCTATAACTCCAGTTCCAGGGGATCCAATACCCTGTTCTGATCTCCGAGGGCATTGCATGACATGGGTGCATCTACATATGTGCAAGAAATACACTCATACACATAAAATAAAAATAATAAATAAAATATTTAAAAACAACATCACCAAAAATGCAGGGACCAGAGAGATGGCTCAGTTAGTAAAGGTGCTTACCATCAAGTCTGATGACCTGAGTTTGATTCTCGGGACCCACATGGTGGAAGGTGAAAATGGACTCTTTCAGGTTGTCCTCTGACATACACATACACACACACACACACACACACACACACACTATGATAAATAAATAAAAATTTAAAATATATAAATTTTTAAAAGAGCAAACCCAACTAGGCATGGCAGTATACACTGTAATCCTAACACTTGGGAGACTGAGACAGGAGGATCAGGAGTTCAAGGCTAACCTCAGATGTATAGTGAATTCAAGACCAGCCTGGATTACATATGATGTTGGAAGTCTGGAAGAAGGAAGCTCAAGAAAAAGTCCTCAGGTTTGCTTAAGTGAGTATGAATCGAGTCAAGAGTGGAAAGGTAGGAGACTGATGACACATAAAGATCAATCAAGTCAGATAAATTACCTCTGAAGTGGTATTTATATGTCAGAATGTTTCAATCTGGAAGCTACCCAGACTTCTATTCACCATGTACTGATTTCTGCACTTTTCAAGAATGCAGTCCCTGTGCAGGGCATTGGTTTATTTCAGCTTTTTTCTGCAGACATGAACACTGCTTAAGTTGGCATTATTGAGCAGTACTTGCCTTTGATCTGGTAGAAGGTGAGTCTTCATCAGCCACACTTACTGCAGAACCTGGACACAGAAGTGATTCTCAGACGACAGGGAGTTCTTTCTGTAGAGATAAGAATACAAGCCTCATGTATTTATAGTACAACTTGGGGATCCCTGGGTTTCCT